ATATGATGTGATAGTTAGGCTATGAAAAAGTAGGGATAAAAGTAGTTTTTTAATAGAAAAAGGAAGTGTTTTAAGAAAAACAAAAAAAATAAAAGAGAAAGAGTTTTAAGAAACGGAAGGAGTATGTTATTAAGGATAACTATGTTGAGTAATAGGACACTGAGAATGAACCACATTGAAAATTGAATTCAATCGATTAGTTTGTTCAACTCAAAAGCTTATGTATCGATTATTTTACTCTAGAACTTCCGGTGTGCGATGACACTCTAACACTCCACCTCAAGTGGACAACCAGACCATTTTGAATATAACCGGTTGACCATTTGCAAATAGACTCTTTTCCCTTTTTTAGCGCCAACACTGAAAGGACCACGAGCCGCTAAGTATGAATTTCCAGATGAGCAATCGTGTTAAATAGGTCACAGGCCGTTGGGTACATACAGGCAACTAGGCTAAAGACTAATGGACCGTTAGGAATGAACGTCTATACGAACACCTTGACAAATAAGGTGGGCTAAAACCTGCTCCGATACTATGATAGAATTTAAAATGGGGTAGAAATTACTAAACTGGGTCATAAGATACTTGAGTTGAACCACATTAAAAAATTAAATCCAATCAACTACTTAGTTCAACTCCAGAGCTTATATATTGATTTATTTTCTCTTCAAGTTATGATGTGAGATATTCTTTAACACTCCCCCTCAAGTGGATAATTGAGTCATTTTGGATCTAATCTGTAGATCACTTGCAAATGGATTTCCATCCCCTTGATGATTTTTTTGAGCGCCAACACCTGAAGACCACGAGCCGCTAGGTATGAACTTCCAGACGAGCAATCGGGTTAAATGGGCCACAGACTGTTGAATTTGATGCATACTCCATACGGACAAATGAGCTAATGACAAACGGGCCACTAGGAATGAACGTTAAGGCGAACACCTTGACAAACGAGGTTGGCCAAAACCTACTTCGATGCCATGATAGAATTTAAGATGGGGTAGAGACCACTAGGCTGGGCTATATGATACTTGGGTTGAACCACATTAAAAGATTGAATTTAATTGATTAGTTAGTTCAACTCAAGAGCTTATATACCGATTAATGAGTTCTAGAACCCAGGACCTAGAAGACTAGGTATAAGAGTATCGAACGAGTACTGAGTGCTTTAGGTTGCAAGAGTAGGGAAAAATATATTAGCATTGTCGTAAAAGTGGACGTCCTCTTCCCCTCCCGGAGAGGGGTATTTAATTTATGCAATACATATTTGAGCTTTGTAACCGTTGGTCTATGGCCTAGCGGGTCGAACCCATTGAGGCCAAACTGTCTAAGTGGCGGCGCCAACAATATGATTAGAAGCTATGATGGCTACAAATAACGGGTGACAATAGGGTGGCTACAATCAATCGTACAGACAAGTGCACCAGCGTGTCCAGTCGTGGGCCCGCTGATTTGACAAGGCATATAGGCTCCCATGCCGTAGTGGGCCCATGGTGCTTATCTCGCAGCAGAGGCCGAACATGCATGCTTAGTTGTTGGAGGTAAACCATGGAGGGGCCGGCCGGGTCGGTCCTGGGTCCGAGTGAATGTATCCGTGCTGAGCAAAGATATGCATCCGAGTGCGGCTGTCACCTTGAGGCCTTGGTTTTTTCTTAAGTTTTTAACCGAGCACGTCCGAATCATTCAAGTGGGTGGCTTGTTGGGCTGCTTATTCTGTTGGGCCGGATACCTCATTTCGGGGTATCCATCACCGGTTATTTTACTTTTGGACATCCGATGTGGGATGACACTTTAACACTTTAGAGTAAACAAAGTCAAACAAACCTATTCCAAACTTTTAGTGATCAAGTCCTTGTTGCGTGGTGCTTCTTTGGTGGACCTAAATCTATACCAGTTTTTGTGGGTCTTTTTAGATAAGAAATCACCCTAAATAAGAGCAAAATATAGAAAAAAATACCAAAGTAGGAGTTTCATGTTTTTATTTTCTAAATAGGAGTTTGGATTGTGGTAATGCGGCACTGTAATGAGCATTTTACTATACATTTTGATAATGTACATGATCATGATTGGTAATGTAAATATTTTTTAACTCCTATATATTTCGAGAATAAAACATGAAACTTCTATTTTGGTATATTTTCAATGTTTTACTTCTACGTTAGCGTTTTTCTCTTTTTACATCAAAAGTATGGAGTATTTTATTTTATTTTTTGGGAAAATATTTATAGTAATACTCCAAACACTCTTCGAATTTATAAGAATACTCCGGAAATCAATAAATTATATCATTACTCCTACAATTGCTCTATTTTTACAACAACACTCCATCCATCACATCACTTACATAATCATATTGTGTAATATATATATATATATATATATTAATTTTTAAAGTGATGACTTGAAAAATAAATCATTTTTTACTTTTAATACAAAAAAGTACTTATTCTTTATCCAACTCAAATATCAATCTCCTACTTGAAGGGTTTGTTTTTTTATGTAAAAAAATTAACTTTCAATTTTTTCTAACTCTTTCTGAATTTTCCAACTCACAATTTCTTCCAACATTCAACTACTTTAGAATTCTAACCAAAAATAACATGCCTTAATTGTGAGAGACGTGATTGATCTTTGAGTTGGAAGAAGAATAAGTAATTTATTTTTTCACGAAAACAAAAAATAATTTTGTTTTGAAAATCATCACTTTAAAAATCAATTTAGATATTGCACAATTTTATTGTACAACTAGGGTGGTGGTGGGAACCTTACTTTTTGTAAAAAGAGAGCAATTTTAGGAGTAATGGTGTAAGTGTGTAACTAATTGATTTTCTGGGTATTCTTGTAAAATCAAGAATTTGCTGGAGTATTGTTGTAATTTTTTTTACAAAAATGCTTATCAGGATAATAAACATTTCCTTACCATTATCATATTTATTAAGTATATGAATCTAAAATTGAGTGAACCTTACGTCCCCAAAACATTTACCATATTGAGCGTTTAATTTTTTTTTTTGGTGAAAATGGTACTTACCATTTTTATGGATATTCTCGTATCAAAAGTTTTTTCTTACTTTTTTATATTTTTTACAAAATACTCACTCCGTTCCACAAAACTCTTCCTCTTTCGTTTTTTTGCTTTCCACAAAACACTTCCACTTTCTATTAAAAAACTATTTTGACCTCTACTTTTTCATACCCTACCTATCACATCATACTTTTTCACTAATAACCAAACTATCACATCTTACTTTTTCCCATCACATCAGGGCAAAATTGGAAAGTCAACCAAAATTACACTTTCCTTATTTTTTCCCAAAGTCAAAACCGGAAAGATTTTGTGGAACGGAGTTAGTACAAAATACGGAGTATTCATGAAGATAGTAATCATTTGCTTACCACCCTCATCTATACTTCTACAAAAATTATGTGCACTATCCACCATAACGTTTTACCTTGTTATATAAATGCATGTTGGTTTAGTGTTGTGAATTTATAACAATTATATTTTTTTTTTATTTTACACTCTACTTTTAATTTTTTAAATAATTTAAAATTGAAAAAATTAAAATAAAAAATCAAATTGAAAAAAAAGAACAACTAACGGTTAAAACCTAAAAAGAGCTTAATCAAATTGTTATTTTTTAATTCACGAAATACCTAAAAAAGAATAAAATATGGAACTTGTATCAAAATAAGATTTGCGTGTTTACGTCATAAATAGAAGCATAGACACTACAAAATGCCATAATTTGAAATTTATCTTAATATTTTTCGATATAATAATTTGACATTGTCTGTCTCTCTTTTGATTTTGCATAAAAATGAAATATTGAAAGAACGAAACGCAATTCCCAAATAAAAAAGTGAAATTTGCACTGAATAGGACTAAAATATAAGTCATTTCCCAATGTAAGACTTAAACTATTTTATTCCCTAAATAGGACTTAATAATGACTAGTGAGAAGAATAATGTCCAAGTGATGCTAGACATTTAGTTGAATAATGACTGACCAATGATCCTACATTGGGAAATAAAAACAAATGGTTCTTTTTTGAAAAAGTTATTATGTTTTAGTCATATTTAAGTAAATTACTCAATAAAAACAGGGGTATATGATGGGCTCCACATAGTTAGAGTTCATGTGTTAGGAGTAAGTCCACGATATATGTATTGCACTCCATTGCCACTTTAATTATTCCACTTGATTGGCCAAATTTATTCTCACGTTTTTAACCCCATTTTTTTTATCCCCTTTCTCTCAAAACCTTGCTACGTTACAACTTAAAGTTATATAGTACAAGTACATCACAAGGGTCTCGTCCATAAAAAGCACTCCTCCGCTATTTCATCTTTTTCTCTTAATTTTTTTCATGTCAAATTAATTTTCTCATTTTAATCTCATGAAGATTTAGAAAATTTGAACAATATTAAATAAATATTTTGGATGATGAAAGCTATGTGATTAAAACTTATTTAAAATAGAGAAATATTTTGGATTATGTATTTACATATTTTCTTTCTAAAACAAGGTAGATAAAAATGTGAAAATTGTTATGGAAATAATAAAACAAGAAATTGCATAATTTTTTTGGATAGAAAAGGTAAATTTTAAACTCTTTTTTCACCCGTTTTGAAATAATAAAATTCATATTTTTTCTATTAAAGAATGGAATATCGGAGTATGGGACGGAGGAGATAAATTGCAATCGGTAATTTCGGGTCTTTTTTACCCGTTAAAACCTAAGACCCACCAAAGAGCTCCATGCTCGGTGTGCCAAATAATATTTTAACTTTCCTTTTTCATCTATTTCGAAAAACACTTTACATTACTCGTATTTAAATACTCTCAATCCTAAAATGGATTGCATGCAAGCCAAAACCAGACAAAATGCTAAGTTTTCTAATTTGATTTAATTAGAAATTGGCATAAATATAAAAGTAAAACTTTCATATTTAAAATTTAGGTTAAAATTATATAGAGTACAATATAAGAAGTGATAAAAATATTTTATTTTATTAAATATTCAAAGAAAACGCGCAAATAAACAAAAGTTATATTGATTTTGAAATAGTGGGATTCATTTAGGTACGGAGAGAATAAAATTAAAAAAATAAATGTCCTTCCAATATTTCTCTGTTTTCTTCTCAAAAAAACATGAAAAATTTGCTCCATATATAGAATTAAAAGATAGTACGCTTCCCCGAATAAGAACAAATATGTTTTATTTCTTTTATGACATATATTTCCGTATGATCTGTCATATATGCCCACATTAGCAACAAATATTAAACAATGACTGATTATATGAATGATTCTACAAATGTAGTCATTAGCAACAAGTTTTAAATAATGAATGATTATTTCGATGATTATTCAATTTTTTTAATAGTGTCTTATTCTACTTGAATTGTGTAATAGTTCATTCTTTAATAATGATATGAAATTTTTTAAAAGACGTTTCAGTAAATTTTACAAACAAACACCGTACCATAAGTCATACTCCGTATTAATAGAATGACATACTATTAACAAATTAAAGGAGATTATTAATATCCATCTGTAGTCATTTTGGATAATTGTCATTTTTCCGGCTATTAAGGAAGCACTCACATTTTCATAAGCAGGACATTTTAAAACTTTTCATTGCCAAACATTAGAGTAAATAAAACCGGTCCTATTTGAAAAAAATGATATGTTTAAATCTCATTTGCAAAAAAACCCAAAAAAACATTTCTCTTTTTATCTAAATTCCGTAATTATGTACCCAAGATTTACTTTGTACTCCCTCCGTCCCGTTTTAAATCGTCTGTTTTGAATTTTAGACATATTTAAAGAAAGAGAAAAAATAGAGTTGATTTTCTAAAATTGTCCTTACTTTTTAGGTGGAGAAGAACGACTTATTTTAAGGGTACTTCTTAAAATTTTACAATAACAAATAACATGCAACTTATTTAGGGACGGAGAAAAAAGGCAAACATACAACTTAAAATGGGGCAGAGGGATATTTTTTAACAACATTATTGAACTTGGTGAAATTTAATAGGGGCATTTATTTGGAGAGGACTGAGAAGGGTAGTATATATCAGAACATGGGGGCAGATGAGAATCAAAACCATAATTCTCTTTAGTGTCTCTTTTGTTTCAGTTTCCAGTTTTGTAGCTGCTTTTTTTTTGTTTCAGTTTTACACCCACTGTTACCATTTTCATATAAATACTTGTGACATCTTTACTTTATTTTTCCCACACAAAGCTTAAAATTTCTCTGGTTCTTCATAAATGGAAGGCTACTGTGGATTGAGAAACAAAGGAAAGGCAGCAAAGAATGCAGATCTTCAAGAAGAAGAAGAAGAAGAAGGGCTATGGCGTGCTGTTCAGCACGCCAGAGAAACGCCATCGCGGAAAGTGAAGACGATAGCCCCATCGTCTTCTTCTTCCGCGTGGCCTTTACCGAGAAGGGCGGTCCCGCAGGACCGCTCTACTCGTAAGAGAGGAGGAGTGGACGAGAAGTGCTTCTCGACCACGGTTCCTCTGAAAGTCCCAGAGTGGAGGTCCAGAAAGGGATGCGGCGGCGAAGAAGGCGAAGATGAAGGTGAAGACGATGATGGTGGGGTGGTCCCACCACATGAATACATAGCAAGGAGGCTAGCAAGAAGAGCTCATCAGGTTGCATCTTTCTCCATGTGTGAAGGGGTTGGTGGGACCCTCAAGGGCAGAGACCTCAACAAACTGAGGAATGCCATCCTAACCAAGACTGGTTTCTTGGAAGGGTAAAAGTGTCAATTTACAGAGCCATAGTACCAGTCCTACATGGATGCATGACGTCATGAGCTTCTCCTAGATACATGACATACTCTTAGCTTCTTCTTCTTCTTCTTTTATTTTTTTTTAAATTTTAAATGGAGTAGTAAAATAATAACACTCCCTCCGTCCCATGAAACATGGGACTTTTGCTTTGTAGGAGAGATTTAAAGGGAGTGTATTTTGGTATTGAATTTTCAAAAATGTCCTTTGATGTGATGGGTAAAAGTATGATTTGATGGATAGATTATTAGTAAAAAGGTATGATGTGATAGGTAGGATATGAAAAAGTAAGGGATAAAAGTGACTTTTTAATAGAAATGAGAAGTGTTTTGTGGGACGGATAAAAAAAAAGGGAAAATATTTTATGGGACGGAGGAAGTAATTAAGTTGGTGTTTTGTAGTACCTTTGATGTCAGTGTTTGGGCATATATATATGTGTGTGTGTACTAGCTAGATATATTTGGTCATGTTCGTAGGTGGCTGAGTTTTTCCGGTTTTGGAGCTGTTTTTTTTTTTCAAGGAGAGAAAATGAGTGGCTGGGCGGAACTAGTTAGGTTGTCTGGTTCGATTTCTGCAATCTTGTTGCTTAAAGACAAGAAAAAAAAAGAAGAGGGTACTGTATTATAGTACTTGTAGTTTAACGTTTTAACCATGCACTTGCTTATTTAGTACGGAGTATAATTAGATCAATTGGCACTCTTTTAACATGTTGACCGTTTTAGTATTACAATACTCTCTCTCTCCTAAAATTAATTTTATTTTAGGACGGAGGTAGTAATTTTTACCATTCAACATTGTCATTGTTGTTTGATGGGGCTAAATAATCATTTTTAATCTTACTTTCGGCATTGTCAAACAACGGGTACGTCCCGACCAAGTTGAATTTTCACACTCACCATTGCCTAGCCCGAGAGCTTGTCGAAGGGAGGGCCAAGCAGCCCTACCGGCTGGACTCATTTTTTTCGGGAGTCCAAAATTTTTATTTTTTTTGAGTATATATTTAACTTTCTCCGTCCGAGTGTCTTTCTCCACATTTAACTTTTTGCACTCATTCAAAATCTACCTTTGAAGAATAGACAACATAATACTTCATATTCCTTTTATAAATTTAATTACAAATATGCCATAACAAACTCAAATATACTCCGTGTCAAGTTTATACAAAAAATTACTTCCTCCGTGTCACAATAGATGCCTCTATTCATTATTCAAAATTCACGATAGTTTTCATTTATATGTGTTTTTTCATTGTTTAATTATTTGATCAAATAAAATATTATTGTCATCTCTCAGCTTCTTTTGTGAAACTTTTGACGCATGTACTTTGTTAAATACTCTGTATGTAAGTTATTACTTTTATTTTTGTACCAACCTATAAATAAAATGAACTGAAAAACATAGGATTATATTTTTTGTGGATTTTGTGGGACATAGGAATTTTTTTTGTTGTATCTAAATTCTAGCTCTGAGATACAATACTTTATATATAACCATCAACAAAGTGGTGTAATTGAATCAATTAGATCTTCAATGACCAAGGCAGCTTTCCGTTTAACTTATTTTTTTTCCTTATTACTTATTTTTATTATAATCAGATCAGACCAGATCATCTTAGATCAAACTAGATCAGAAATATCTTTAATAATAACTGCAATCAGATAAGATCAAACCAGATCAGATCAGACGAACGGAATGCACCCAAGTTGCAAGCACCATTAACTCACTCTCCTTATTCACTGAACGAGATATCTCACTAATCCTCTTCCTAATTGCTGCTATATGGAAATCTTGGAATGATGTTATTTGGCGCCAACTCTCTCCTTTCGGCCCTTTACATGGCACTCAGCATAGTACCTCTACTCCGACTGGTTGAAATCTCTGGCATCCTTAATCCGCCACTTGAACACCGTTCCTAGACCAAGCCTCTAGAGGGATGGGTTGAGCTTAATGTCGATGCTTCTGTAGGTTGTGGTGATGATCATATTGGAATTGGTTGGGTTGTCCAGGACTCGACCGGTTATTTTGTGTGGCCAAAAACCTTCACATGCGGGGCTCCAACTCACTCAAAGAAGCAGAAGCAATTGCTATCAAGGAAGCTCTTAGTTGGCTCAAAGACTATAATTGGCCGAATACCATTATTGGATCAGATTATTTCTCAGTTATCAAGGCTCTCCAACAACCGCGTATCGAAGATATTTCTCCTAGTTTTCACATTTTAAAAACTTGCCAACTCCAAGAGAATTTGACTTAATGTAATTAGAGGACCACGAACCAAATACTGTATCGAACAAGATATTTCCACATTGAACGCATATAAGTGAGAATCAAAATATGGTAGATCTACAATATGAAGAAACAAGTGGAGCTTGTTCGTAATTCCATCGACGTGATCATAAGCCGCACTACTCCTTCGTGAAACTTCATTTTTGCATAAAATATAATTTCCAACAACCCAAGAAATTTCTCCAAAGTAATGTCCATTATTGTCCCAGTAGTTTTATCAAAAAGCAAGGTCATAGTTATGATAAAACAGATCTGCTTTATTTTGTAAGGTTGCGCTGCTGCAAAAGTATATTAGTGGTGTCAAAACTACAGTGATGCCAAAATCTAGTTGAAGAAAAATAAAGGACTGACTTGGAGGAGAAAACAGAGAATCAATAATATTTTTTATAGCGCCCATCATCTTTGTTTTGAAACATGCTAACTCTAAGAAAATCTGACTTAATGTAATTGGAGGACCACAAACCAAATCTTGTATCGAACAAGAGATTTCAAAATTGAACGCATATAAGTGAGAATCAAAATATTGTACGTATAGACTATCTGCTCCATTCTCCACGTTAGTGAAGTTAATAACTTGGGGCATTATCTTGGCCTCCCCTCCCTAGTTGGCAGAAACAAGACCGAGATCTTCCATCACATCAAGGACAAGTTCAATGCCAAAGTCCTTTCATGGAAAAATAAATTCCTCTCTCCAGTTGGCCAAGAAGTCCTCATCAAATCTGTCTTTTTCGCCATCCCATCATATACCATGTAGCTTTTCCTTGTCTCCAAAATTCTAACTGATGACCTCCATAGTACGATCTCCAAATTCTAGTGGTCCAAACGGAAGTCATATGAATGGGGAATTCATTGGTGGTGTTGGAATCGAATTTGTACCCGCAAAAGCGAAGGAGGACTCGACTTTCGTAATCTCCACCATTATAACATAGCCCTCCTCGGGAAGATGATGACATCAAAACTCCTCCCTTGCCCTGAGGCACTCGTATCTCGAGTAATCAAGGCGAAATAGTATCATAACAGTTCTGTTTTTTATTGTAATCTTGACAGGTCTGCAAGTTTCTTTTGGCGTAGCATCGGGAAAACCATTCCACTTCTTCGCACTGGTGTTGTATGGCGGATAGGTGATGGCAAATCAGTTCCCCTAGCTTCCTCGGCCATCAAACCCCTTTCCATCTGCACTGTTTTTGGATCCTAACCTACACGTCGATGCCCTCATCACAACAGGAGCATGTGATGACGATGTTATCTCGACTATTTTCACAGTGGAAGAACGAGACATCATCAAGCAAATCCCCTTGCCTACAATTCCCACACCCGATTCCATTTACTGGCGTAACACATCGAATGTGGTCTACACTGTCCATTCTGCCTACTATATTCTCTCATCTCAATCAAACACCTCACCCATCCCAACACCACTCCCCCCCACTGGAAGAAAATCTGGAACTCGAAGACCTTCCCATGAATTGAACATCTTATCTGAAGAGATTAGCAATACCTTACCTTGTCGTGACCAACTCATAAAAAAGAACATTAAGGTACCCCCCTCTGCCCTCACTGCAATTCAGCCCAAGAAACAATCCACCATCTCCTCGTCAACTACCTCTTTGCTCGAGAGGTATGAAATTCTAGGTTGGTTTACCGTGTCCACCACATCTTTCGAGGAATGTCTTTCACGTGTCTTTCCACCATTGTTGCTATTTTGAAATCCTAGAATGATGTTATTTGGCACAATCACAATACCTCACCCACGTCAACATGGAACTTGACATGGTATCAATCAAAAGACTAGAAAAATGCAAATTTTTCCACCCCAACGCCCCCATTGGCCCCCGCACATAGACTAAGCCGCTTAAGGAATGGGTCAAACTAAACATGGATGCATCGCTAGGACTGCCAGTGAATCGCACAGGTGTCGGCTAGCTCATCAGAGATCACACTGGAAATTTTTGTGCTACAAAGAATTTCCTCCCTTCTTTACACCCTCGTAAAGACGCTGAAGCCTTAGCTATCAAAGAGGCACTTAGTTGGCTAAAATACTTTCTTTGGCGCAACATCATTATAGAGTCTGGTTTTCTCTCGGTGGTCAACACCCTCACTAAACATCAAGACACCAATCTCTCTCTTGTTTTTCATATTATTTGATTTTGTAAAACTATTTCCCTCTCACTAGGGGTTAATGTTTCATTCACTTTTGCTTACCGTTCAGCGAACAAAGCAGGCTCACCTCTAAACATGGGGTTATGGCTCTTTTATCCCCGCACTTTGTAACACAATTTATTAGTAATGACTAATCTCTTTCGTTGTCCTTAAAAATGGTAGATCTACAATATGATGAAATAAGTGGAGCTTATTCGTAATTTCATCAACGTGATCATAGGCCGCACTACTCCTTTGTGAAACTCTATTTTTCCATAGAAATTCTTTAACAAGCCAAGGAATTTGTCCGAAGCAATGTCCATCATCACGATAATTTTTATAAAAAACCGAGTCCATAGATATGACATAACGAATCTGCTTTCTTTTGTAAGGCTGCTGCAAAAATGTATTGGTGGCGTCAAAGCTACGTGTGTACCTCTACTTCAACTTGTTGAAATCTCTCACTGGCTTCCCTAATCCACCAGTTGGACCTCGTTCATGGAGCAAGCCACCTGCAGAGGGATGGGTTAAGGTTAACGTCGATGCCTCCATGGGTTCTCGTGATGATCAAGTTGGAATTGGTTGGATAGTCCGAGACTCGGTTGGTTCTTTTTTGCAGCAACAAAAACCTTCACATGTCAGGCTCTTACGCACCCAAAGAAGCAGAAGCAATTGCTATCAAGGAAACTCTTAGTTTGCTCAAAGACTACAATTGGCCGAATATCATTATTGAATTGGATTGTTTCTCAGTTATCGAGGCTATCCAACAACCGCATATCAAAGATATTTCTCCTAGTTTTCACATTTTTTAAACTTGCTAACTCCAAGAGAATTTGACTAGTAATTGGAGGACCACAAACCAAATCTCGTATCGAGCAAGATATTACAACTTTGAACGCATATAAGTGAGAATCGAATTATGGTAAATATAGAATATGACGAAACAAGTACAACTTTTTCATAATTTCATCGACGTGATCATAAGTTATACCTACTCCTTCGTGAAACTTAATTTTTCCATAAAAGATATATTTCAACAACCCAAGAAATTTCTCCGAACTAATGTCTATTGTCACGACAATTTTATCAAAAAGTGAGGCCATATGTATGACAGAACGGATCTGCTTTTTTTTGTAAGGCTGGGCTGCTGCAAAAATTTATTGGTGGCATCAAAACTACTGTGATGCCAAAATCTAGTTGAAGGCAAATACAGGACTGGATTGGAGGAGAAAACGGAGCATCAATAATGTTTTTATAGCGCTCATCATCTTTGTTTTGAAACCTACTAACTCCAAGGAAATCTGACTTAATGCAATTGGAGGACCACAAAGCAAATCCTGTTTCGAGAAAAAGACTTCCACATTGAACACATATAAGTGAGAATCAGAAAATGGGTAGATCTACAATATGACGAAACAAGTGGAGCTTGTTTATAATTTCATCCACGTGATCATAAGTTGCACCTACTCCTTCATGAAACTCTATTTTTCCATAGATGATATTCTTTAACAATGCAAGGAATTTGTCCACTGCAATTCAATGTCCGTCATCAAGATAGTTTTATCAAAAACCGAGTCCGTAGATATGGCATAACAAATTTGCTTTCTTTTGTAAGGCTGCTGCAAAAATGTTTTGGTGGCATCAAAGCTACGGTGACGCCAGAATCTATTTCAAGGCAAATAATTGGCTATACACCTACCCCAAGAAAATTAATAGTACCTCTTAACAATAATTAACTAACCATTAATAATATTAACATTACCAATAACAATAATAATAATAATAAAATTAGAATAATAATAATAATAATAAAGACTACTAATAATATTTAAATATCTTAGTTCACCACCTATAAGGCTAAATTTCATTGTTAGTTCTTCAACTTTTAAAAATCCACGAGTAGTTTTTCAAGTCACTATAATGTGACACAGTTGGTCATTCTGTTAACTTTTCCGTTAATCCATGAGCCTTTTCCATTTTCTATTACAAATACATTAAAGGACTCTCTTTTTTTCTTAGTATTAAGCTATATTTCATATAAGTCCATTTTTAATCATAATAAATTGCTCTTATTTTTATTTTGTCCAATTTTTTAATAATAATTCGTCTATCTTTCTTTTATTGGTTTAATTTTTTAAAAATATTCTTTTTGTCCAAAAGTGTTTGCCAAATTTCAACTTTTCATAAAAACAAATGGAGCATTAACTTCTCTCAGTATAATTTTAATAGAAGCTAAATGCTAAAGACTAACCGTAATTATTTAACTGTAATTAAAAGGCCAAAATTTGAGAAATACTTTAGTATCAAGGTTAATCTTTGATGTATAATTTCAATTAAAATTGTATTGAGAAAAAATATATTCACTCTATTTTTTATGAAAAAATAGAAATTTGTCACACTTTAGGATATAGTGAATATTTTTTTAAAAATTAGACTAATAAAAGTAGGAGTAACTTATTACTATTTAAAAATTGGACTAATAAAAGTAAGAGTAAGTTATTATCATTAAAAAAAGGACCTACATGAATTATAGCTTAATTATATTAAAAAAGAGGATTTCTCATATGTATTTATAATAAAAAATGAAACAAAATTACATGGATTAACGATAAAGGTAATGGAAGGACCAACTATGCAATATTATCGTAATTGAAGGACTAATCGTTGACTTTTAAAAGTCGAATGACTAAATGTGCATAATCAATTAATGAAAGGCTAACGATGCAATTTAGCCCCACGTATAACAACAAATTTCATGTTGAGTGATAGAGAAAAAGAAAAAGAAAGTGAAAGAGAAGAAAATAATAAGATAAAATATGATAAGGAAACTTAATATCAAATTTCGTTTAAGAGTGTTAATTGACGAAGAGCCTGTTTGAAAATGTCGTTAGAGATTAACGTCAGCGTTTTAGATAAAAATTTAACGATGCAGATTACATTAAAAATGCTAGCATTAAACGCAGTAGATATCTTTTTCAAAATGGTAATGCTAATCCAAACATGTTCGAAAAGACTTTACTTTTGGAAAGCTTAATGCCCCTCCTTCCCCCCCTCTCTCTCTCTCAAGTACACTACCGGCCAATGCAGCAGCAGCGGGGGCACACATGACACAACAAGTTAAAGAAGCAAGCTAAGCTAAGCTCACAGCTCTGTCACAAGATGATACTCCTCATACAAGGGAACAACCTCAAACCTCTCCTTTAATGGCAATTTCGAACTCCATTCATCACTCCCTCCTCCTCCTTCTACTACTCATCTTCCTCCCCATCTCCCAATCCCTAAGTCTCCTCCACCCACTTCCAGGTAAAAAAAGAAACCCAAAACCTCTGCTTCTTGTTGTTTCATAAAGATTCAATCTTTTTTGTTGGTTTTTGTTGCAGAGTTCAAGAAGTTTCAAGTTCAAGAAGAAAATGAGCCGAGCGTGGGTGTGAACATAGGCACAGATGTTTCCAATTTCATCTCCCCCTCCGATTTGGTGTCTTTCCTGCAACTGCAGAAGATCAGACACGTAAGGCTTTACGACGCCGACCCTGAGATTCTCAAGGCCCTCTCCCGGACCAAGATTAGGGTTATTGTCAGTGTCCCCAACAACCAGCTTCTCGCCATAGGTTCCTCCAACTCCACGGCTTCTTCTTGGGTTGCCCGCAATGTCGCCGCCTATTACCCACAAACCCTAATCACCGCCATCGCCGTCGGAGATGAGGTCCTCACCACCGTCCCCTCCTCCGCCCCTTTGCTGATTCCTGCAATTGAGTCCCTCTATGCCGCCCTGGTTTCGTCCGGGCTGCATACCCAGATCAAGATTTCCACCCCTAGTTCCGCTTCCATTGTTTTAGACCCGTTCCCACCTTCGCAAGCGTTTTTCAATGAATCCCTGGCCTCTGTTATCTCTCCATTGCTGCAGTTCCTGTCTAGGACCCAGTCTCCCCTGATGATGAATCTGTACCCTTATTATGTGTTTATGCAGAACAAAGGGGTTGTCCTTCTGGAAGACTCCCTCTTCAAGCCCTTAAGCCCTTCCAAGGAAATGGTGGATCCCAACACTTTGCTTCACTATACCAATGTGTTTGATGCTATGATTGATTCTGTTTATTACTCCATGAGGAATCTGAATGTCACAGATGTGGTGGTTCTTGTCACTGAGACTGGGTGGCCTTCGAAAGGGGACTCTAAGGAGCCCTTTGCCACTCTTGACAATGCCGACACTTACAATTCGAATTTGATCAAGCACGTTCTTGATCGCATTGGGACACCTCTCCATCCGGAAGTCACTTCCGATGTGTATATATACGAGCTGTTCAATGAGGATTTGCGGGCCCCTCCGGTTTCCGAGGCTAATTGGGGTTTGTTTCATGGGAATTCGTCGCCGGTTTACTTGCTTCACGTGTCTGGAAGTGGCGAATTCTTGGCTAATGATACCACAAACCAAACATATTGCGTGGCAATGGATGGGATTGATAGATGGACCTTGCAGGCTGCTTTGGATTGGGCTTGTGGGCCTGGGAGGGCTAACTGCTCGGAGATCCAGCCCGGGGAGAGCTGTTTTAAGCCGAATAGGGTCAAGAACCACGCTTCGTACGCGTTTAATAGCTATTACCAGAAAGAGGGAAAGAATGCTGGTTCTTGTGATTTCAAGGGAGCAGCCACTATTACCACCACTGATCCAAGTAAACTCCACATACCAATATGCACTACTCCAACAAAATGTTACATTTCATCAAAGAAGGCTAGTTTATCATGTTATACATTATAGTTAAACCAAGTGATTTTTTTTATTTTATTTTAAAAATATCAGTTTGATTTCTTGCCCTCTCCATACCCTACTTCCTAGAGGGGTATACTGGGAATGTTTGGTTTGGTTTAGCATATAGTCATGTGCATTATTCATTCAAACATAAAAAATTAAACCTTAAACAAAAAAACTTGATGGGGTTTTTTTAAATGTACAATTCCACGGCACAATTATGCGCATACCTTACCTCTACGGGTAACGGTTAAAAAGGCCATTTCCGAGACGTAGAGTTCCACGGTATGCGCTACAAATGTTTTTAATCCATGTTGGACACCACTTGCTCTGTTTCTTTACTTCACTAGATTTTGAATTTTCTTCTGAGTTCTGTTTTTTTCCCGGATGTGTGCAAATATATTGCAGGTTATGGGAGTTGTGTGTTTCCTGGAAGGTGAGCAAAGTTTCAACTCTTTGATGATGATGTTGTTGTTTTCCTTCGTTTCTCCTCAATGTTATCATTTTCTTGGGTATACGTTTTCTAAATATAATCGTTATATGCGTTTAGTCTTTCTGCTCTGTTACTTACATTAGGGGTTGTTTGGTTGGAGGATTTTGGAGGTTTGATTTTTGTTTTGCTAATTTACTCTCAATTTTTAGCCTTTCAAGTAAATCATCACTTTTTCTCCAAGGGTCTAAATGCAACTATATAATTAGTATTTGTATCCTCTCCCATTTGATATCCTCCAACTAAAAGCCAAACTAGAGACCAAATTCTTATCACACACAATGCATGTACCATTCATATAATCGCCACTTTGAACAATATTTTAGTGTCGGGTTGTGCTACAGACACACCACGGATGACACCAAGGTTGACAGTGTCAGTGTCACATAGACAATGATTGTGTGTTTGGTGTTGTCAACCTTGGGGTTAAAGTAGCATTACGCTTTAGTTTCATTTAAATCCTTTCCTCTTTGTGGTAAATCATTGAATTTTTATGTGTGCAGTAAGAGCGAAAGCAAGAGCAGAACACATGTGAAAGTGAACTCAAACGACACAAGTGGTGCATGTACAATAAAGTTCACCCAAACGAATGCATATAACTTCATGCTCGTTTTCTGGAGCGCCGTATTCTGTTCTATTTGTTATTCGTTTCGCCCGTGACAAAAAAAATCGGTCAGTTACAAAGCTTCTTCTATAGATTTACAGTTTTATTTAAACTCGACTTATAATGATGCCACAAATGGTTTGCAGATAAATGTTGCGTTTCGTACGTTTATTCTTTTTGAAGAGGCCATTCTTGAAAATGTTGTACGTAAAGAAATTCTTGGAAGCACCGAAGACGACGAAGACAATAAGGAAGAAGAAAGGTTGAGAACAAAGTTGGGTGTTTTTGTTGTGCAAGGGAAGTTGAGATTTGAATAAAGTGCCATCATTTTGGAAGTGAGGCTGCTCCTTTAACTGTATATCTGTTGTAAAAAAATTCAAATTTAACTAATTTATGATTTTTTTCTGTTAGTTCTTTTGATTTTGCACGGAATTTAGACAAAGAAAATTGTGTTTGAAATTTATTTAGAAATTTTAATTCATGATAATGAGTAGTTCTACCATACAACAATAGCCTGGTAGGTACATTAATGCCCTTCAACCATATTTCAGAGGAACCTTATATGTTTATTAATTAGAATTGAATTGTTCATCAAATAAAATGTATGTGCTCAACAACAACAATGAGTTTTGGATATAGTGTCTATCACTTATTTATGGACTGGTTTTATGGAGTAGGGTAGTGTGCCCTAAAATGAGCTCCACTGGTTTTATGGACTGGTTTTCTCTCCATATTAATTCACATCCAAACAAAAAAAACCTGATTGGGGTTTGTATTTTTTTTCTTCTTCTTCTATTTTCTTGTTTTTTCTAAAGGGGAAGGGTGCCCCACAATTATCAAACTTGTTAACCAAATAACCAAAGTAAATTGGAGCATGCTACATGTCCCCCATTTAGGTATACACCAACATTTTGATAGTTCACATTGACATAAAGTGTTGGTGCGTTAATAAAAATTTATACTGATACAAAGTGGTGGTGTGTTAACAAAAATTAGAATTACACCAACACAAATTATTGATACATCCCTACATTATACAAAATAGGATACAAATTCTTAAGGTACAAATAGCTTATGCAATTAAATTAGTCTACAGGGCAAAGCTGCAAAAAAGGGCATTTAAAATGGCAATGGCAATGGTCAAAATGAGGCCATTCCATCGTCTTCTTCTTCTCTCGTCGTCATCATCGTCCTCCCGAAACCCTAGAAGCAAAACCTTCACAGTTCCCACCAACAGCAAAAAAATGTCATCTTGGGCGTGCTCGACCTGCACTTTCATAAACCCACCTTCCCAGAAATCCGCATGCGGAATATGCCTCTCCGCCGCACCCACACCGCCGCCGTCTCCGTCGAAGCCCGATTGGCCTTGCGTGGCCTGCACTTTCCTTAACCCGTTCCACTCCCTCCGGTGCGAAGTTTGCGGGACCCGAGCTCCGGCCGCTTCGCTTTCAGCGCTCCTCGACACAGAAGACGACGACGACCCGCAATCCGTGGGCACCGTTTTCTTGCCCTTGAGATCTTGCAGTAATAGGGCCAAGAAATCTGGGGCATCCGACCCGGTTGAGGTAGTTGATGATGTAACCGCTGTATCCCATCAGACGATTTACGGGTCGGGTCTGGATAATAATGCCCATGGGTCCATGGCCGGGAAGAAAAAGAGGAAAAGTATGGAAGAAGAACTAGTGGCTGGGAATGATGGAATTGGCTTCAGTGATGTCAAAGCAGGGAAAAATGTTATGAATGAATCACTGGGTTAGTTTGAATTCTCTTGCTTTAATTTTCAGTGGAATATTTGATTGAAAACTAAAAGTAATCTTTCCCCCCATTCTGTGATCTTTCTGGTTTGTTTTCTCATAATGCACATAAATTCATATGGACAAACCTGTAATAACAATGCAGTGTTATAAATCAATTATGTTCCTCAGGTTATCATAAGTCGAGCTTTCTAAAAGTTTCTTTCTTATATATACTCCCTCAGTCCTTTTAAACATGTGATGTTTTGATTTTGAAGAAATTTAAGGGGAGTGTATTTTGGTATTGAATTTCCAAAAATGTCCTTTAATGTGATGAGTAAAAAGTAGGATTTGATAGATAAATTATTAGTAAAAAGTATGATGTGATAGGTAGGGTATAAAAAAAGTAAGGGGTGAAAGTGACTTTTTAATAGAAATAAAAAGTGTTTTTTGGGACAGATGAAAAAAGAAAACAGAAAGGTTTTTCAGGGACGGAGGGAGTATATGAAAAGATTTGATCTTGCTGGCGTATCTATGTCTATTCTTAATACACGAGGAAATGAGTTTCCATTCTGACCATTTGTTTTCCCCTCCTTTAAAAGATAAGCATGGGTTTGTTAGTTTCAGGTGACAGAGAAAAAGCATCTAGCAAAACAAGCTTGGGCATGATGGGGGAATCCCGGGTGTTGAAGATTTTGACATATAATGTTTGGTTTCGTGAAGATCTGGAGATGCATAAACGTATGGAAGCTATAGGAGAACTTGTTCAGTTGCATTCCCCACACATTATATGTTTTCAGGTACTATGCGGTGAGGTTTGAGCTCACGTTTAAAGAACCGATTCAACCAAAAGCTCAAGCTTTTGGTTGAATTATTGGGAAAGATTTTACACTCTACACTTTCAGGCAGGAGAGCCATTAACGGTTGTAAATATGCAGGAGGTTACTCCCACAATTTACGACATCTTTCAGCATGCTAGCTGGTGGAAGGCTTATCGTTGTTCTGTGTCAAGTGATTTGGCATTTTCGAGGCCATACTTCTGTATGTTGGTAACTTCCTGTCCCATTTTTTTTTTCACTCAGAAAGTTATGATTGAACTTGTGCTGTGTTTGGTTCAGACTTGGTTTAGTTTGAGCTGATGACTCAAAAACACTGAAAAACAAACTGCAGCTAACGAAACTGCCAGTGAAGAACTTCAGCTCCAAACCTTTTGGCAATTCTGTGATGGGAAGAGAACTTTGCGTTGCTGAGATTGAAGTGGAGAAAGGGCTGCACTTGGTGGTTGCGACCAGCCATCTCGAGAGCCCTTGCCCGGGCCCACCCAAGTGGGACCAGATGTTCAGCAAGGAGCGTGTGGCTCAAGCGAAGGAGTCCATAAACCTCCTTCGCCAAAGCCCAAACGCTATACTTTGCGGGGACATGAATTGGGATGACAAACTGGATGGCCCATTCCCTCTACCGGAGGGATGGGCCGATGCGTGGGCCACCCTGAGGGGTGGAGAGGTGGGGTACACGTACGACACGAAGAAGAATGTGATGCTGAGTGGGAACAGGTCACTTCAGAAACGACTGGACAGATTCTTATGTGGCCTGCGCGACTTCAAGATGCATAAGATTGCGATGATTGGGCAGGAACCAATCCCGGGCTTGTTTTATGGTAAAGAAAAGAAAGTGAGGAATGAGGTTAAGAAGCTGAGCCTCCCTGTCCTGCCTAGTGATCATTTTGGTTTGCTTTTGGAGATTCTTACTCCCATTTAGTTGGAAGGAACTGACTGTTAAAATGATGCCTTTTTTTGCATAGGTATGTGAATGTGTGTCTTGGCTTGGCTTGGCCTGGCCTGGTGAATCCTATAAGGCTATAACCATTTTAAACACAGTGAAGGAGTATCTTTCTTCTTTGCTTTCTTTTTCTTTTCCTACACAACAGATTGATCTCCCACCAACCTCTTCCTAGGGATTGATACTGGCATTTTTTCACTTCAAATTTCTAATTGAAATGCTCCGTGTAAAAATACTAGGTTTAAGACCACATGTTATGGCGGGCTTGACACGACTTGACGAGGTGTAAAGAGGTATGACATGGAGAGATAAAAATATGTGTGTTGTGGCGCTTGAAAGGGGGAATAGAGTGAAGATGTGGATTATTTTGATTAATGTTTTTAAAAAGGAACTGAGTGTTAATCTTGATTGATCTTTGACCTATAATTAAATAATAATTAACGGTATATTAATTAGATAAAACAATATTTTAAAACAAAATGGATCTTTTGATCTTAAAACCCCGGGATCATTATGACCCGAGACACTTGCGATGCTCTCCGATGGAGCCAAAATTTCACCATTTTTTGGCTTTGGGGTGTGATGGAATAAATCAAAATGGATCTCTAAACTATCTGCGCTTCTTTAATTAATGAAGTAGCAGTTAGTCAAGCAATGCAACTTTCGACGTTGAGCCGGGGGTCTCTTTGGAAACAGTCTCTCTACTTTCAAGTAGGGCAAGGTCTGCGTACACACACCCTCCCCAGACCCTACTCTTGTGGGATTTAACTGGGTTGTTGTTGTTGTTTACACCTGCGATGCTCTGCTGGTAAAATTGATGGTTTTTAACCTCTAACTCTCATGTCCCCTTAAAATGCCGATTTGGGTAGTCCAAATTGGCGTTTTAGGAAGGGAGGGGGGTGCTAGGAACCATCAACTTTACCGATGGAGCGCGCCGTAGGTTTCCCAAGTCATAAGGCTCTCCCGTTGATGCGTTTTTTTTACAAAATGCAAAATATATTATCACCTCAATCCAAGTACAAACTAGTAAACAAAATAAGGGATAGCAACCATCATATTACAAAGAGGCTAGCCTAGGGTCATTACATATTAATAAAGGGACAAGTCAAACCCTCCCCTCCCTCCAGCTTCATATATACGCACACAACCCTTTGAGAATGAAAGCTCAATCAAAACTTTCCCTTTTAGCATGCAAAAAGGTGCACACATGATACTTGATTCGATGATGTGTTTTCTTACTGATGAGGATGTGTTCCTGAATAGGAGATAGTTTCTGGCTCTCCAAATGAAATAGACACAAGCACTAAAGAAATCGATTATTTTCAGTCTTTGTCTAGTTGGAGAAATTTTTTGTAGCCTCTCTAAGATTTCTCCCACTGAGAAGTCTACAAACATATAATGAGTCCAGTCACAAACCTTCCAGTATACCTCCTTAGTGTACTGACGTTGCATATGAGATGCTAGCAGTCCTCAACTCCAGAATTGCAAAGTACACAAAGGGTATCCATAGGAGTATATCTATTACCCTTACTTTGGTTTGCAACATGTCCTTGCAGATGATCCATAATAAGAATTTATGTTTAGGAATAGTAAATTTACTCCAAACTCCATTAGCCCAACAAGGTTCTTGTTTTTGTCCAAACTCCATAGGAGTATATCTATTACCCTTACTTTGGTTTGGGGAGTAAGGGATATTGCTGCCCAGACCCTTAAACATTTCTCTTGTGCGAAGGATTTTTTTCCAGTAGAAGCATGCATCAGATTTTTGGGGACAATCCCAGATGTTAAAGTCTTTAAGATACTTGGAGTGAACCCATTTAATCCATAGCATATTCTTCTTCAATGCTATGTCTCAAACTAATTTCATGATGCAGGCCTTATTCCACAGGACTAGATTCTTTAGTCTTAGTCTCTCTCCCATTCTTTTTAGGAGTGCACAGATCTTCCCACAAGACTAAATGGATTTTGTATCCACAAGAAGACCCCCAAAGGAAATTTCTGCATAGGGCTTGGATTTTGTTCATCACTTTTGTTGGAATTAGAAAGAGTATGCTCCAATAATTCAGAATGCCAAACGGTACAGAACTGATCAAATTGGCCCTACCAGCATAAGAAAGATGTTTGGATGTCCAAGTATTAATTATGGTGGTCACGCTGTCAACTAATTTGTCACATTCCTTACTACTAATCTTGGAAGAAGTGATGGGGCTTCCTAGATATCGGAAGGGAAATGTACCTCAGTTCATATTGGTCAGGCATAACATTTTCTACTCCATTTCCTTAGTGATTCCTCTAAATATGATTTCAGATTTTAGAGGATTCACAGAGAGACCTGTTGTGTATTTGAAATGGTCCAACGCAAGCATGATAGTTTGGATGGATTTCTCATCAACTTTGAATGCCACAATTAAGTCATCCGCAAATACAATGTTAGGACTTGCACATAGGATGATACGTGAAACTTTCTTTGATAGCAAAGTAATGGAATGACCTAGTTAGGTATTCCATGATTAGAACAAGTAAAAGGGGTGAAATAGGATCACCTTGCCTTAATCCTCTTTTCCCTTTAAAAAATCCAAAATTCTATCCTTCAAGGTGTATGGAGTATGAGGTAGATGTGACACAATTGTTAATCCACTTGATGAACTTTGAGGGAAATTTAAGGTATATAAACATCTACTCAATTGCTTTCCAACTTACATTGTCATGAGCCTTTTGGAGGTCTAATTTCATCAAACATCGAGGAAAATACTCTTCCTATTATAACCTCTAGCCAATTCCTGGCATAGAAGGACATTGTGGACTAATTCTCTTCCTTCTATGAAGGCCTCTTGATTTAAATTGACAACACTTGGCAAAATCTTCTTGAGCCTTCTGCATAAAATCTTAGAGATGGTCTTGTACAAGACACTGCAGCATGTAATGGGTCTTAGATAGGGGTGCATACAAATCAAATAAAATGTATTCGATTCGTGATTCGTATTCGAAAATGATGATTCGTATTCGCTATATTCGAATTCAAATCCGAATACGAATCGTATTTTAGATTCGAATTATATTCAAATTCGAATATAAATATTAATAGATTCGATTCGTTTATTATTCAAATTATTTGAATATTATAATTTATAAATAAATTTATATATATTCTAATATATTAAATATATGTGTACATATGTTAACATATTTTAATAAATTAAATTCTTGTGTACATATAAATTTATATAACATATTTTTACTACATTTTACATTATTATAAAATAATAAGTTAATGTCTTTAAGAAATCTATTTTAAGAAAAAAATTTCTAATATTTTCGAATTCGAATATTCGAATACGAATTCAAATACGTCAAATATCTATCGAATCGAATACGAATGTTTTTTAAAATTCGGATTATATACGAATCCGAATTCGAATACATATCACTTTAATCGAATACAAATCGAATAGTGATATATTTGCTTCGATTCGTATACACCCCTAGTCTTAGATCAACTGGAGCTTTTGGTTCCTCCTTTTTTGGTATGAAAATTAAATTGGTTGCATTGATCTGTTTGAGTGTATCATCTTTCTAAAAAAGTTCATAATGGCTTTAGTAATCAGCTCACCCATCTTGGGCCATTGATTCTTAAAAAATCCACTACTATAACCATCCGGGCATAGACTTTTATTGTTAGGAATTTCAAAAAAGCAGCTCTTAATTTCTTCAGGGGTAACACGTGCTATCAGTATCAATTGTTGCTCAATGCTTAGACCATTACCCAAATCCACAATGTCCTTGATGATGTTCTCTGTTTCCATATTAGTACCCAGCTATTTCTTAGAATACACAACAAGGATTTCTGCTACCTTTTCTTTTCCCTCTTTCTCAATTCCATTGGCTAGTCAGGGAAGTGATGTGGTTTTGAAGCTTCCTTTTTTGACCCATGCATAATATAACTTAGAATTTTGATCACCATATGTTATCCATTCAACTCTAGCTTGTTGGCATTTCATAAGGAAACTTGTCCTGAGTTTAAGATGCAACTCAACTGGAGTTGACATTTCATAGGTATCCTTCAATATTCAATAACGTCAATTATTCTCAAATTGTGTCATGGTATCAAATCAAAAGTCTCCCAAACCCTAATTCTTTTTTCCCTACCGTGCTTTACCGCGGGTCCACGGATTGCCGCCGACGGTCGACCGCCGCTGCTCATGGCATCACCGTCCGATCCCTTGGCAGCTCTACCTTGTAGAGTAAAATTTTTACTTCGCAGTCTCCATAATTTGATTCCAGAAAAATTCACCGATATAAATTATCCGGCATGGTCTCTTAATGTCCGGGCAGCTCTTTTAAGATACTAACGCCTTTGATATATTACATCGATTATTATAGAAAATTGATGTAAATAACAGACCCTTTCGCATCGGTTCTTTACAATAATCAATGTAATAGATCAAATGCATCGATTATTTTAGGGAATCGCTGCAAAAGACTCACGTCTAATTTAACGCGAAGACTAGGGGTGTTCATGTTTAGGTCCAGACCAAAAAAACCGACCGAACCGGATCGATAGGTCCAGACCGAACCCGGACCGAATCGATTTCGGGTCGGTCTTCGGTCCTATGTATTTAACATTTCAGGTTTCGGTCCGGTCCGGTCCAAACCCGATTTACAATCGGTCTGGACCGATTAGACCGAATAGTCCATTTAATTCCCAATTGGTCCAATAGTCCAACCCAGTAAGCCCACTGTCCATACCTATTTTTTAAAGCCCAAATACCCAAATATTGAAAACCACATCCCAAAGCCAATTCCCAATCGTCAATTCACACGCTCGTAGTCTGGGTCTCTAGGAGTAAACTGACGGCCGACCTTCTCAGAAAGTAGGGATTCATCCTCGCTACATGCTGGACCGACGACGGGCAATGGCCGAGGCTTCTTAGATTTCCCATCTCTTTGTGTCGAAAGGCTTCAATTGGACTGCGAAGGTATGTATTAATCATGATTATTCTTGCATGCCCTCTCTAATCTTCTTCTCCAACTATGGAAGTGGGCACATTGGCCTTCGACAATCGACAGTGATTTAGTCGGCAGCATAGCAGCAGCATTCCAATCCTAATTTCCAGCCATTTTAGATAATACTAATACCGTAAATCGGTCTTCCCGGTTCGGTCCGGTCCAAAACCGAGTACATTTAGGTCCGGTCTTCGGTCTAAGTTTTGGCATATTTCGGTCTTCGGTCCGGTCCGGTACGGTCCGGTTTTAGACCGATGAACACCCCTAGCGAAGACTGTGGACCACATTTTTAACCTTTTTGCATTGGTATTTTCAACAACCAATGCAAATAGAGCCGTCCATTTTCCCTTTTGTAGTAGTGCAATGGGCGTAATGGCCAGTTTCTACTCCTAGGAAAAGCAAGTGTGTGATGATTTATGCTCTGCATAAATATCTTTTGCTATGACTAAAAATGGATCGCATTCCTTATTACTCACTCAAAATCGGAACTTCATTTGCCTCATTTTAGGTACACTATTCGGGAGAGGTCTGAGGAGCCCTCGAGGACTGGGAAGTATATAATTACGTTTATCCAGTCAATATAAAGCATAATACTTTACATTATTTTTTTTATGAATTAACAAATAAGTGATGGCAAAATAAAAAACTCTCATATGTATAAAGCATACACATTAAAATTTATTTTTTTGGTTGTTCTATCCAACTTAGTAATATTCATATTGCAAAATTATTAAAAATCAATAAACTTTTGAAATAAAAGAAATTCAATAATCGAAAATAAGATTTTATTTTATTTTTTTACGAGTATTTTTTGAAGAACAAAAAATTAAAAATGTTACATATTAAGGACCGTACTAGGCTTGGACCGGTCCTAACGGGACTACCCGCCTCTAAAAATTCCCTATCATTTATGAAGACCGGACTAGTCTAAACGATTTTTAAAAAAATCAGATGATCACATCCTAAATAGTATCGATCTTTTCAAGGGACCAATCGATCTGACTAGTTTGGTGCTTTAATTTTGCTCATCTTTAGATAGAGTGAAATCCTATGTAAGTAGAGGTGTGTGACGGTCCGTAATATTACCGAAACTATCACGGAACGTAACACTCTTATTTAAACGATTCAGCATCGATACAGGATGAACCCCAAAATCATTCAGTATCATTTCGTTTTGAAATGGAACGATACATGCAATACTCAAATAGTATTAGTACAAAAGCACAATTTTGTATAAAAAGTATAACTTTGTTAAAAAAAGTAATGATTTTGAATTTAAAATGATCATAAACATAAAGAATAAAAAATAACAAGTGTAAATTTGAAACATAAGATTTTATATTTCAATTTATACAATCTCGGACTATTAATAATTTCAAAAAAATAATGCTTATAGTAGTAACAAATATGATAACAATGATAATGAAAGAATATTAAAAAAATAATGCAATTTGAAATGCTTCATATATGGTAAGATAAAGTAGACACATAACTACATAAGTATTTATTGAGATGCTTCGTATATAGTTTTTGAACGGTTCAATTCATGATAATCGATTTTAAATTTTTGTATAATAGTTTCGTCCCGTTTAATATCGGTTTAGTTTGCGAGAATGAAAAAATTTAATTACATTTGAAAAGACCCTAAACAATTCGATCGGTACTACTCCCTCCGTCCCATAAAACATTTCCTATTTCAAAAATGGCACGCCTTTAAAATGAGTAATTTTAGTGTTATTTTTTAATTATGACTAATCTATTCTACACATCTCATCCTACTCTTTTATAAAGTAAGAACAAAATTAGAAAATAACACCAAAATTACTCATTTTAAAGGCACGTCTTTTTTGAAACATGAAATGTTTTATGGGACGGAGGGAGTATTATGGTTGAATATGATATAATGTAGTTCGGTCAGACTCCCATACGTAACTACGTAAGTAGTGATGATCATCCCTGAGTCGAATAATCTGTGTGTGATGGAGCAATTATTCACGCTAAACATACTCTAATAAACATACTCCTACGGAGTATTTTCATGAAATGTGTACAGTGTATATTTTTATATTTTAAAATTGATTAAATTGCATAAATAGTTTCTTTTTATATATGATTTTTTATATTTAGTCCTTAATTTTTATATATTACATTATTTTTTATTTTTTTTGAAAACTATTCTTTAACCAGTTCTTTGAAAACTTTATGTGAAAAAAACTATTTGGTCATATTTGACCTAATCACCTAAAAGACTAACTGTAAAATAGTTTTAAAAAAATTGAGGAAAGAGAATATGATCCATATCTAAAAAGTGAGAGCTAAATATGAAAAACTACCTATTATATTTGAGGACGATTTACGAAATTTAATCTTCAATTTTCTACCAAAATGTTTATTATCTAACGCTATTACCAAACATGCCATATAACTAGTTCAAGTGTTAAAACAAAAGTAAAATTTTGAAATTACATTAATAGATTACTGGCCGGAATCAAATGAAAGATTACTTAATTACTGCCTATTTTATCCTTTAGTGAAATTTGCACTGAATAAGACCAAAACATAAGTCATTTCTCAATGTAGGATTTAAACTTTGTTATTCCCTAAATAGGACTTAATAATGACTAGTGTGAAGAATAATGTCCAAATTATGCTCAATTTTTAGTTGAATAATGACTAATAAATAGTACGTAATAACCAATGATCCTATATTGGAAAATAAATAGTACAAAATGATTTTGTTTTAGTATAAATGAGTCACTCCATAACTAAAATAAGAACAAAAGGAGAGTATTTGTTTGACTTTAGGAACAAGCAAATATAACACCGTACTCCTGCCTTTCAATCTCATTGTGAAATCTTCCTATAAATACGAAGAGATGGGCACATGATCGACTTAAATTAAATCCATAGCCTATCATCATGCCAATCATTGGGGCGTCTTCTTTGACTTCATCACTCTCCGTCCCGCCGCCGCCGGTTAGCCGGAGTAAGCCCATTACCGCCGCCGCGGGAAACCTGATGAGTTTTTCCAATATTCGTAAAACCATTACCACCTCCCTCCCTGTATTTCACAGCTACTATGTTTCCGCTATAAAAACCTTGGACCCATTTGTGGCGGCGGAGGAAACCACCCCCACCCCCACCCCCACCCAGCCGCCACCTTATTACGGTGGAGGTGACGGTGATGGGAAGGACGAAGATGCCGACCGATCTTTGGTCGCGGCAAAGCTTCGCGCGATCATGGAGATCGTGGCGGACAGGGTGGAAATGCACCAGAGCATCTACGAGCAAAGGAACAACTGGAACAGCCTCTTGTTGAACTCCGTCAACGGCATCATTCTAGCCGCAGGGTTAACGACCGCCGGCGGAATCCCCTGCTGGGAACACGCCGGCGAAGCGTTACTACCCATTAAGTTGTCGTCCACTCTGCTTTACCTCTCTGCCACCGCGGTGCTGGCGGTGATGAACAAGGTTCAGCCCTCCCAGCTCGCGGAGGAACAGAGGAAGGCCGTCAGGCTTTTCAAGAATCTCCTTTTCCAGATCGAGACGACTAGCCGTGGCGATCGTGCCACGGCTGGCGACGTCCACGAAATGATAGAGAGGGTGCTGGCCTCGACAAGGCCTACCCTCTGCCCCTCCTCGGAGGGGCCATGCTGGAGAAATTCCCGGCCTCCATTGCCCCGGCTGTCTGGTGGCCAGAAAACTCGGCACGCAGACAGCCGAACCCAATCGGAGGCACGGAGAACGGCTGGACCGGGGACCTGGAGGAAGAGCTGGAGGAGATAATGAGGGTGGCGAGGGGAAGAGACGGGAGAGAATACCTAAGGCTAGGGGGGAAAGCCCTGAAGCTGAACAAACTTCTGGCCGTCACCGGCCCCGCGCTGACAGCCACTGCCGCCGTCGCGTCATCCCTTGCGGGACCCACCTCATGCTGGGCGGCGGCGGTAGGGGCGGCAGCAGGGGCGGTGGCGGTGGGGGTGAGCACGGTGCAGCACGGGGGACAGGTCGGGATGGTGTTCGAGCTGTACCGCAGCACGGCGGGCTTCTTCAAGTTCTTGGAAGAATGTGTAATTGAGCCGAATCTGATGGAAGGTGATCCGGAGAGAAGGGAGAACGGAGAGGTGGTGGAGATGAAGGTGGCGTTGATGCTGGGAAGAAGTGTCTCGGAGCTCAGAGATGTGGCTGGTGCTAAATCAAGATCGCTGCTGCACATTGATGATGACGACGACTTTGCATCCAAGCTTTTATAATTAATTAATTAATGTGAAATTTGTACTAAATAATAAGACTAAAACATAATGACTTTCCTAATGTAGGACTTAAACTTTTTTATTCCCTAAATAGGACTTAATAATGACCTAGTTGAAGGAATAATGTCCAGTAATGATGAACATTTAGTTGAATAATGACTACTTGATAATGACCAAAGGTCCTACATTGGGAAATAAAAACATATGGTCCTATATTGGGAAAGTCATTATGTTTTAGTCCTATTTAGGTAAATTTCTCTTAATTAATTACTTTATGCCTTCATTTCTACTCCCTCCGTCCCAAAAGTCTTTCCTGTTTCATTTTTTACGCATCTCATAAAACACTTCTATCCCGCCTTGAATGCCAAAAAAACTTTCAAAATAACTTCTACACACAATAAAGAAGAAATGTTGTAAATTTTAGGCATTTTAGATGTCGGTAGGGGTGTTTTATGTGATGCGTAAAAAATAAAATAAAAAAGACTTTTTGGGACGGAAAGAGTACGATTAAACTTCTTCATTCAAGTAATTAATTTCTCAATCTTGTATACGGAGTGATAGTGTAAATTATCGACCGGTATATCGTTTTTAGCCCGGCAAAAACGATAAACTAGTCTAAAAATACACCAAAATATAAACACGGGAATTTTGACGTGGAAACCCAAATCGGGAGAAAACCACGGGCCTTTTTTGGCGGTACCTTGCCAACGGGGGATTTTATTAACATCGGGGGTGTGTACACGATACATGAAACGGGCTCGGAAGCCATTAATGGTGGAGCTACAAGCTCTTGAAGAAGAAAATATATAAAGATTCTAGAGAGAGAAAGTGTAATGTGCAGGGGAGAGGGTGAGTTTTTCCCTCCTCAACAAATAGGGCAACCCTCCCTTTTATAGGAGAGGGTGAGAGCATCTACGGAGGAATATTCTCTTATTCCTCTATTTTATTAAACAGGCCCGGTTTAACTGTTCTTCGTAAATAATTGGGAAATGTGGGCCGAGCCACGTATTATTTCCCATCAAGAAGTCCTCCACTTTTTTGAATTGTGAGAATCATCAACTTAAAAAAGTAAACAAGTCCTCCGAGTGTGATCTTCAGTCTTCGTACTTTGAATTCTTGACCGGTAGATATTATTGCTAGTCCTCCGAGTCTTCATTAATTCTCTAATTTCATGAATCATAAGTTTTTTCCTGCAAAAAATAATTTGTACAACATTTTGTTTTTGACCAGCCTATGCCGTGCTCAAAAATAATTATTTTTACCGAGGAGCTCAGTGTTAGATGATTAAGATTCGCGCGAATAATTATCGTAACGAGAGCGATGTCAGTTTGATAAAGCAACGATGCTTCGAAAAGTTATTTCGTCGAGGTCGGTGTTAATACGAGTCAAGCAAACGATGCGTGACGAAATTAGTATACCAAAGACAACGACCTTAGTTAATAAGAATTGAATCCGACGCGGTAGCTTTGTTGAAGATCAGTGTTAGCCCGGCTGACTGATGTAAATATCTTCATGTCTCGCGGAGACCATCTTCGATCAAAGTGCCTCAAATTGAGGGCTTAAATGAATCGGGCGTCCCCGATATGAGCTTTGCTCACTTTTTTGCTGAAACCGATGTGCAATCGGTGTACCCAATTCGATTGGGCTCAGGCTTATTGGAAAATATGTGTAAGACTGGTGTGAGACCAGTGTACCAGTTCGACTGGGTCACATATTTTCTTTATTATAATGAGCAATACCGGTGTAGTAACCAGCGTGCCAGGCCAGGCCTGTGTCTCAGTCTTCCAATAAGATAATGCTGCTGGCCGGGCCAAATCAACATTGGAGAATTAACCACGTCGGATGGTTTCGAGCCCTCCCTAAGGCCCAAAATGCACCCTTCTTCCAGGGCCCCCTCTTCCGGGTGATTAAGTCTTTTAATGGCCCTTTGATATTTACTATCCCGGGAAGACCTTAGCTCACCCCCCCGTTCAAGTCTTCCCTGAGAAGGGGGAAATAGGATGCGCCACGGTGGACGATCCCTTTTCTATTTCTTTTAATCCCTAATTAGTTTGCCAGTCTCTACTGATTCCCCGACCGGTCAAACCTCATGGGCCCGTGTAAGTACGGTTCGAACCTTCTTCCAGGTCCAACCCTCTTGCAGGCATACCCTCTTCCGGGCCCCTCTTCCGGGTTTATTATTTTTTTATTTTATACTGAGCAAGACCGGTGTAGTAATCGGCGTGCCAGGTCCGCGCCTGTGTCCCAGTCTTCCTCTCAAAATTCATTGAAAACATATCCTTGATCGTCCATGTACAAGGTCCACTTATTGAGATATGGGCCTCTTATCTTCAAATCGCACATGGATCGAGATGCCCAAATTCATGCATCATGGGTGGGGCCTGCCAATATGTGGTGAAGCTTTCAATAATCAATGCTCTCTACCTTGTAGTGTTTATTACTCCTTGTTTCCATTTGCTTGTGCCTTCATATTAACACCTTTTCATGTGCTAACATCTCCACATGTAGGCATTTGGATTTTTTCTCAAAATCAGATCCTTGAAGCAATAATTTCCTTGAAGCAAATTGCTAGAGTCCTATCTTTATCTCCGTCGCCATTTCCTTAACGTCGCCATTTCGAGAACAGCGGCTCTGATGGTGCAATCCGGCAGCAACAACGGCGAAGGTCCCAGCTCCATTAGTCCTACGGCGACCATCGTCGATTGTGGGGCCAACCCATCAATCAAATACCCCACGACCATTATGTGCGTGACTTTGTTGCCATTTAGTGAGTAGGAGTATCTTTTTATCTTTGGAAATCATTCACTACTTCATGCACTGTTAATTGTCAGTGGCCCGAGGAAAAATCTGATGAGATCTCTCTTTCCTCCTTCGGCGCAGCTTCGTCTGCCTTTTTTTTGGCCAGTTGCACTGCTCCTTCATATTTGTCTTCTTCCTCCTCGAGAGGAATCAAGAGAGGCGTGAATATGTAGCCGACCCTACTTCTTTCTCTTCAATGTCGCTTGGGAGTGATCCAGTATTGCGGCAGTTGTGAAAGTAGCAGAAGTTCTTGCAGCGGTCGGCAGCAGATTTGAGCAGCAGCGGCTGCGAGTTTGAGTAGTGGCGGTGAGTCTGAGCAGCAGCAGCGAATCTGAGAAGCGGCGGCGATCAACTTCCTCTATTTGCACCGAAGTGATGGAATTGGGCGGCTTCAGCGATCTCTGGCGGTTGTAACGTGGATTGCAGCGGTGGTGGCTCTCGTCATTACGGCAAAGGTGGCTTCGAGAGATCGAGGACGCAGGTAAATGATGGGGTCGCCAGAAACCAAGTGTGGATGCTGGATGACACATTGACGATCCTCCTCTAAACGCCAGTGAGCTCTACCGTGTCGATCATCTTCTCAAGTAGTAATTTCATCAATAGGAAATGGCCCAAATGATTTGTCGCAAATGTCATCTAGATTCCCTCCTCGAAGTCAAAGAACTTAGAGCGAGAGGCATGACTAAGATTTCCGCCTCCGGCGACTCAGCCAAGATCCGAAACCTCGTCTCCTCCGCCGCCTTAATGTTCTGGGCCGGCAGTATAAGCCGCACCCTCCTGCGTCGTCTCTGCTCCAATCCACGATGTCGGTCCTTTGGCGATGGCGGTGAGGAAATCCCAATTGGTTCTGAGTTCTCCCTTCTTCCTCAACTATGGTGACATGATATCTTTCTGAAATAGCGGCCGCCGATCGGACTAGCAGGGATTGGTGGTTTGGGTCACGACCATGGCTCTGACGGCACATTTAGTGGCGGCCGTGACCACTCCAGCGGTGGCGAGCTTAATTTTTGGTGGAGAACTCTAGGAATGGCCGTGCGAAGGAAATCATGGCCTCCTCCCTCTTCATTTCTCTTGTGCGACATTCTTGTGGTGGGGATGGAATATCAAAATAGGGACTCCCCTATTTTTTTTCTTTTTGCTGTCATCGGCCGAGAATGACCAAATCCACTTGAATTTGGGGTTTTTTTGTCAACGAACAAAATGAGATTTGAAATTTCTAGACTTTTTGCTCGTGTCCCACGGTCGGCGCCAAAATGATGGTGTAAATTATCGACCGGTATATCGTTTTTAGCCCGGCTAAAACGATAAACTAGTCTAAAAATACACCAAAATATAAACACGGGAATTTTGACGTGGAAACCCAAATTGGGAGAAAACCACGGGCCTTTTTTGGCGGTATCTTGCCAACGGGGGATTTTATTAACATCGGGGGTGTGTACACGATACATGAAACGGGCTCGGAAGCCATTAATGGTGGAGCTACAAGCTCTTGAAGAAGAAAATATATAAAGATTCTAGAGAGAGAAAGTGAAATGTGCAGGGGAGAGGGTGAGTTTTTCCCTCACCAACAAATAGGGCAACCCTCCCTTTTATAAGAGAGGGTGAGAGCATCTACGGAGGAATATTCTCTTATTCCTCTATTTTATTAAACAGGTCCGGTTTAACTGTTCTTCGTAAATAATTGGGAAATGTGGGCCGAGCCACGTATTATTTCCCATCACGGAGTATCATTAAAAAATGCTATTCATTTGTCAATCTTAATCCGTCTGTAACAGTATTTCTTCTTGCGAACGAAATAAAACACCTCGTACTATCCTCAAGCATGGGTGTCTTCTGTCGGACATTTTTCTATCACTTAAATATTTATCCATTAAACATTTATCTAGTTTGATTTTTTCGTGTTAAATTATAATTATTAATTATTCTCAATTTGTATTACATATCAATACATTAGAATAAATTTTTGAAAGTTCTAAATATTTTAAATATATTAAACTCATTTCTATACTAATAAGATATATTATACTACTTCCATCCCACAAAAAAGTTTCCATTTTGACCATAATTTGGTCAAACTGTTGCACACTTTGACCCTAAATTAAATATAATCTAAATAAAGAAATGCTAAAAAAATTTGAGATATCAAAACTAGATCCTAAGATGAATCCAATTATATAAAATTTATTTCATAATTCAATATATCTTTCTCACAATTTGTAGTCAAAACGTGTAAATATTTGACTAAATACTATTCAAAATGAAAATTTTTTTGTGGGACGGAAGGAGTATTTGACATGACTCTTATTTTAACAAAAGATTAAGAACTTTGGAATATAACATTTGGTAAACGCATGTGAACTTTGGAAAATAACATTTGGTCAAACTTTGAGTGGCTTATATATAGTCTATCTCTTCATTCTCTCATCTACATTGATGTCGTACATTTTGGTCAAGTTCTTTTGTGGTCCTTAGGTTCATGCCCTTTATATGGATCTCAACACATAAAATGATTGTATGTATTGAGGTTTATTCAAAAAAGAAATCCAATTATGAGCTAATGTAAAATATGTGAGAAGCTTCATATTTCACCTGTGAATCTTAAAACCACGATATCACAACTCTACTATTTCATTTTCCTTAAAAATTTCCAGTCAAATTGCATCTAAAATTTAGGATCGACTTCAGTTGTTAAAAAATGTTAAAAATTTTAAAGTGTTCCACTTAATTTAAATTTGTTTTTAAGATGGATAAATGATATGCACTAATAATGCACGTATATATGTTTTTAATATTTCGTACTAATGAATGTAAACTTTATTTTAGGACATTCAAAAAATGTAAAATTAATTCTAATGTAAAAATAAATTTTTACATATATATAATTTTTAAATATACAAACTTTATGGAATACAAAGTACTTCTTTGACCACTCCATAACTTCTATTATAATATTATTATCATCACTTACAGTTATAGCTATATATTATGTTGGTGTCTAAGTAACTTTTGTTTATTTGCATAGTTTTGTTGATTATTTGATAAACCAAAATATTTTTGTCAGTTCTTATTTTTTTAGAACTTTTGATATACTCTTTCCGTTTTTTAAATCATTCCTATCTTAATTTTAGACATAGAATAATTATTCACCTCAAATCATTGATGTAAATATTCCGTACTTTAATACTAGTACAGAAGAGGAGCGACAAAGAATAATTATTCGGAAAATGTTAGGGGTACACCATATACCCCAAATATCCTCCATCCTTTCCATAATCATAAATATTTGCATGTTAAGTTTAAAAAAATAAATAAATTAAAATTAAATAAAAATAAAATGTTAAGAGGCATGTGGTGTACATTTGGAGTACACCTTTAGTGTATCTCTAACATCTCCCTAATTATTCACCTCAAATCTTATGTCACTCGAATGAGCTAATCATCGCACCTACTCCCTCCGTCTCACAAAAAAGTTTCCATTTTGACCATAAATTTGTCAAACTGTTGCACACTTTGACCCTAAATTAAATATAATCTAAATAAAGAAATGCTAAAAAAATTTGAGATATCAAAACTAGATCCTAAGATGAATCCAACAAAATGTAAGGATTTCCGTTGTCTTCTTGAAAATAGAAGGACCTGAGAGTTATTTCGATAAAACTCGCGTCACCCGTGAGTAATTTTCTGTCCCAAACCCTATTGTAGTGGGATTCAACTGGGTTGTTGATGTTTCTTTAATAATCACTTTTTTGGTGTTTAGGATAAAAATTAATAGATGAAATGTAAAAAGAATACTCCAAAAAAATGCAATAGATTGAAAAAATATAATATTCTTTTAACATACTTAAAAACTATATACATTATACAAAAAAAATCAGATTCTTGTAACATATCAATACAAAAATTTGTAATATATGAAAAATCAAATACTCCGTATATGTTATACTCCGGGGTAAAATTTATTTCATAATTCAATATACCTTTATCACAATGTGTAGTTAAAGCGTATAAATATTTTTGACTAAATACTATTCAAAATGGGACTTTTTTGTGGGACGGAGGGAGTACCTTTTTACTAATCACAATAATTACTCTAACATTGACTATTATGGTCTACTAATGTGCACTGTGCAATTGAAATTTACTTCTTAACCTTTCAAAATATTTATAAGAAAATTAATTTAAAGAAAAAAATTGTTTATACAAAATTAAAATTTTTAATTTAAAAAGAAATAATTTAAAAATAGAAAAAAATAAATTTACATATGTAAAATTTACATAAAAATTATTGAAAACAAGAATTAATAAAAATATTTTATTTTTTAGACAAACGATAAAAACGTATAAAAAATAAAAAATTTTATGATTCTTTTGAATTGTGAACTGTGACATTCTTTTTTGGACGAATGAAGTATTTAAACAAACGATAAAAACGTATAAAAAATAAAAAAAATTATGATTTTTTTGAATTGTGAACTGTGACATTTTTTTTGGACGAATGAAGTATTTAAATAGGACGAAGTATTAATATTCACGCATATTTTTTGTGTTGGGATTCCTCCAAGTCCCACACCGGATGAGTAGGAGTAAATGAACCAAAATATATAGGTTCACCCAACCCCATTAGTATGAGGCCTTTTGGGAGGTGCCCAAAAACAAATCCGTGAGGGCTTAGCCCAGAGCGGACAATATCATACTAATGCGGGGTTGGGGTGAGGGCACGCACAGTCCCAACATGTGGTATCGGAGCCCAGGTTCTTGCGGGCGGGAGTAGCGGACTGTGCAGTGTGAAAAAATTTCGGTGTGACGGTGTAACTAGGACCAAAGACCAAGAAAGAGGATCTGCAGGTGGTGCCTTGTGTCGAAAGTCTTCCTGACGAGAGGAGGTCGGGCGGCGCGTCCCGTGAAGTTATAGCCATGGCGGTACAAGATGATTTGGCGGATCAAATGGTGTAGCCCAGCGAATGAAAGATCTGCGGTTCGAGCCTTGCGTCGAAAGTCTTCCCGACGGGAGGTCGGGCGGCGTGTCCCGCAAAGAGTGTGCGGCGGTGCAAGATGGTTAGCAGATAAAGAAAAAAAAGGAGATTACCGCTGGAGGGGAGGTCGGAAGTTGTGTGGTCCTTGGATGAGGGGAGGTTTGTTGGGATTCCTCCATGTCCCACACCGGATGAGTAGGAGTAAATGAACCAAAATATATAGGTTCACCCAACCCCATTAGTATGAGGCCTTTTGGGAGGTGCCCAAAAACAAATCCGTGAGGGCTTAGCCCAGAGCGGACAATATCATACTAATGCGGGGTTGGGGTGAGGGCACGCACAGTCCCAACATTATGGACCTTAGTTATTGATATCAAACTCTTATTGAATACAACTCCAAGTTATCAAGATTTTCCTTGTTTAATTTGATTCTCTATATCTTTTGTTCAGTTCGATTCTCGTTTGATTGTGATAAATATCAGTTTGGGTAAATATTTGTTCCGATAAATATCGGTGCGTGTGATGTTCTCCTCTTTTTGAATAATGAGTGATGCCCAAAATCTACATACTACCTCCCTCCCAGAGTATTTGTCCAGTTTGACTTTTTCGAATCAAACTGGACAAATTTTAAACTTCAATTTCTCTCAATTTGTATTATATATTAGCATAATGAAATATAATTTTGAAAGTTCGCAATACGATAAATTCAATAAAGTCATTTTTATATTAAAATACTTTACGGTTTTTATTTAATTGAAGATCAAAGTTTGTCCAGTTTGATTCAAAAAAATCAAACTGGACAAATACTCTGGGACGGAGGGAATATAAAATATGATTTTTTTCACATTTTTCATGAGCTTGCATGTGGATATTTTCTTTTTTGAAATAGGCCCACTTTTCTTTAAGATCCATAAAATGAGTATAGACCTTAAAGTTCACGAAAGAATTTACCTTGAATAATGTAGTTATTTCAATAGAATAATGTTAGAGTCGCAAATAAAATACTCAAAAAATGTACAAACTTACTATTTGTGTATTTTAGTTTTTATTTTTTAATTATTTGATACCATTATTTGAATCCGTTACTTTACATATTCAGCAAACTTATAAATTTTGTAAATATTTTATTTTTGACTCTAACATTATTAACATTATTCATTTCAATATTCCATAAAAAACGAATGTATTCAATGCACCCGCCTACAAAAACCCTT